CAAACTCATCCTCCAACTAATTTCATTTTATTCCTATTCCATGCTTACGAAACTCAAAAATATTTTTGAAAATAATATTTCTATTCCCACGACTGTCGAACTCGGATTAACCCCGAAAATTAGTAGTTCGATCACGGTCTAATTTGAGATGAAAGAATCCAACCATTCGACGGTATATTATTCACAACACTTTGTAAGATTATTACGTAGAGAGAGCTTAGAAATCTACTCTATATATATATATTAAAAAAAAAAAATCAAACATAAAAAAATATCATCGAATTGCCGCATCGATCCAAGTAATGGCGAAGAGTGCAAAAGGTTAATCTTCATTTTTCTTTTTCAATATACACATTCCCAAAATATTCATACAAATATCCATCATGTTTCGCATTAATTCATTAACCACTTTCTTATTAATCCACCAGCCATAACCCAATTGAGAAGAAGATCCTCTCCCTTTTCTCGACAAGAGAGAGAGAGAGAAAAAAGAAAAAGAACCGAAATCGTAAAACCGGCGGTGACCCCGTTGGAAACGCGAGGCTCAAAGCGATAATTGCACACGTTATTCCGCGTTAATACCAGCGGATAAAGCTGCTGGCCCGTCACGCGTCGTCCACCTCCTCCTTCTCCCTCCCTCTCTCTCTCTCTCTCTCTTTTATTTCCACCGCGAATCCCCCCACTCCCTCCACCCACCCGCCACGTTTCCACCACGTTCGCAGTCGTGGGGAGACACGTTTGATTAATTCTGTATCCAAGCGTGGCTAATTCGCCGGCGATTAACCTCCTCCTCGTGAGGGGTGATAAAAAAAAGGAAGAAAGAGAGAGAGAGAGAGAGAGAGAAAAAGAAACTCTGGTGGATAAAAGCGAGGAGTTGGACGCGAGAGAAATGGAAATGTCAAGCGTCCTACCACTCTTTGGAACTTGTTGCAACGACGTGCAACGACTGTGCTGCCACGCACGGTCGAATGATAAACGAGTTGCCATTTGATTAATTCTGAATGGGAGGGGAGGGGAGGGGGAATGAAGGAGCGAGAGATGCGTATAATAGTTTGGCGAAGAGAAATGGGAGATTATTATATATATTATTATATATATTATATATATTATATTATATATATATATATATATATATAGATGTATATATATAGATGTATATATATATAGATGTATGTATGTGAAGTTTTGACAACTGTTTTCACGAGGTCCATTATTCATAATGTTGATTTGGAGAAAATCTATGGGTATTGTTTAGATTTTCCTCTCATCGTTTTTAATCTTTTCAAGTAGTTCTTTCTCTCTTTTTTCTCTTCCCCTCTCTCTCTCTCTCTCTCTCTCTCTCTCTCTCTCTCTCTCTCGACGAGTTTAAAATGATGATCCCGTTCAGAGCTACGTTGAATTATTTAAAGCGTTATACTCGTCGCTTTTGTGACTTGTAGAACTTCGGTGAATCGTCAAATTATTATCATCATGGAGATAAAAAAAAAAAGGGAGAAAAAGATTCTGATCCTTTCTGCGTGAACGCGTCACGCTTAATCCCGACGAATTTTCTTTTTTTCAACTGGCTCCCTTTTCAACCCAAGGCACCCAAGCCCCGTCTTGTCGACCGACTTGCCGAGGAACGCTTGGCCCCCTGTTTTATGCAAGCCTCGGGTTTTATGCAATGAGACTGCGATATCAAACGGCCGCGAAAGTCGTGCTGCCGTTGAATAAAATATTCGTTCGTATAAAAAGGGAGGGGGAAAAAAGGAAAAGGAAAGGAAAAGGAAAGAAGAGAGGAGAAAGGAGCACCCTGGCCGGTGTCAGGGTGAAAACAACAGGGTGGCGGTACGATCGTCGTCTGCCATCTTCGTCTCCTCGCGAGTTTTGCTTCGAACGAAGCTGCTTCTATCCTTTCACGTTCATTCAATTTTTCTATTCTCGAAAGTTGGGACGGATACGAAATTCGATCCTTAATTCTACTTAACACGTTGACTGCCGACGTCACTCATATTCGGTTGAGGCTTGTTTGACTACTTGTGAAGGATCTTCGTAGGTATTTGGAAAGATATTCTGCAGGGTGTAATAAAACTATTAAATTGTTATAAAAATAATGAAAAAATAATTTACTAAAAAAATTATTTTGAATGTAAAATTTTAAAACATTCTATACAAAGCTTGATCCGGACAATTTGGACAAAAAGTTGTTGTCTTTTTTAAATTCCTTCGTGCGTTTGATCGATCCGTTTATCGTCTTTTATAACATAATTTGCATACAATCTATTATTTATACCAGAATTATTTTTCCAAATATTATGTTGACTCCGTTGAAAGTTTTGACAAGGTTTTGTTGTATTATTCGGATAATCCTAACAATTTTGCAGCTAATAATTCTCTAAATCTTCTAATTTTAGAGTATCACGATGGTGATACGACAATTAGATAGTTTATGAACTTATCGTGCTCTGACTATCGGACACGATTATCTGCTGTGATACTATGAGAATTTATATACAATCCACAACTAAGAAGTATATTTGTTACGTCTACTCGAAGAGAATTCGACATATTATCCAAATTAAAATATCCAAAATATTCTATATAAATCAGTACTACTGTTCAATACTATTCTCAATACAATTACTATTATCAATACTTCTACTGCGAAATGATGGAAACAAATGATGCGAGACGTCATTCTTGCGACTCATATTACTAAAATATCGGCAAAAGTACTGGAGTACACTTGATACAGCGACGTGGCCTGAAGGAGAATGTTTCGTTGGAAACATTCGTGTCAACGTGTTAATTATAATTAATCTTATCACCTGGCAAAATGGCGAGAGAGAAAGAGAAAAAAGAGCACGAGAGAGAGAGAGAGAGAATGGAAACCTCGAAAGAAGGAAAAATCTGGCAAAACGAGAGGCGAACAATCTAGTTTTCCACTTTCTTTCGTCCATCGTTAAACGACTCGAGTACGAGGAAGGGGAGTGGACAAGGTGAGGGGGGGAGGATGGAGGGATAAAGGGTAACGGTTTGATCTGGGACGAAAACAGCGTGGAAACACGGCGTTCGCCGGGAAATAGAGATTTCGCGGCAGGTCTTACGTCGGCTTTGCCGGTTAAGCCGCCCCGGATCGTGCCGTTACAACGTTTCCCCTTCGTGCGATCTCGCGCGCATACCAAGCTCCCCTCCCCAACCTCTTTATCCGTTGTTCCGACTCGCGGATCGACGACAGCCACGTGGCCGGCCAATCCAACTTTCCACCCGTCGGACGCCCTTCTTTTCCAATCCCCTAAAGGGATTTTTTTCTTCTTCACGATTCTCTTCACGCGACCGAGAGAGTTCGAATTATTGAATCGAAGCTCGGCCATGTTGAAATGCGAACATTCGTTAATCTTCGATTATATTCGAGAAATAGAAAAAAAAAAAGGGAAATGAAATGAAATTTTTTTGGTTTGGATATTTCTCTCTATCTGGAGGAGATAGGGAATATTCAAACGATTTTCAATTTTCTGTAATTTTATCAATTTTTTTGCTGGCTAGTTAAAGGGTAGTTGAATTACTTTTAATTGTTTGTCGATAACTTGTGAATGAAATTAGTTATTTTTTTAAAGTTTCGGAATAGTAATAATAATGATAATAGTTAAATTAATAACAAGGTAAAGAATGCACGTTTTCGTAAGAGGAGGGGGAAGGGGGTTGGAGAGATTTAGAACGGCGATGATCCAGGGAAACGAACGAAACCGGTCTCTCTAAGTACACTTTAATTAGCCGGCGAGCAAACAATCAAGCTCCTAAGCCGGTGATTTGCACGGGGAGCGTGCGTGTGCGGATGTACGGAATTACCATCTCGCCGCCGGGAGCGAAGCTGGTGTTCCAAGAAATCAGAATCCGTGCCCGCTTATATGAGCTTTTCATCGTTCCAACCGATCAGCTCGAGGAACGCTTAGTACAGAGCTCTTTGATTATGTTTAAGGGAATGAATCGATCACGGGATGCTGTTGATAAGGGTAGTCGTTCACGGTGTTATCGGCTTGTTGCTGCTTTAACTTAAATTTATAACGAAACCTTTATGAAACATCGTTCTTTCGAATTTTCGAGGGGGCGAGAACGTGCCACGGACAGAAGAAATTTGGAAGATTTAAAATTTTACGAGATCCATGATTTCTTTTCTTTTTTTTTTTTTTTTTTTTTTTTTTTAATATATAAGGGAATGTATAAGTGTGATAGAAATCTACTTATTATATGAATTTAGGAACGCTTGAGTCTTTGAATAATTAATATAATTTTGTTGAAAGATTTTTTTTGAAAGATTTAAAATTTTACAAAATCCATGATTTCTTCTTTTTTTTAAATAAAGAATGCATAAGTGTGATAGAAATCTACTTATTATATAAATTTAGCAACGCTTGAGTCTTTGAATAATTAATATAATTTTGTTGAAAAATATTTTTGGAAAATATAAAATTTTACAAAATCCATGATTTCTTCTTTTTTTTAAATAAAGAATGCATAAGTGTGATAGAAATCTACTTATTATATGAATTTAGGAACGCTTGAGTTTTTGAATAATTAACATAATTTTGTTGAAAGATTTTTTTTGGAAGATTTAAAATTTTACAAAATCCATGATTTTTTTTCTTTTTTTTTTTTTTTAAATAAGGAATGCATAAGTGTAATAGAAATCTACTTATTATATAAATTTAGGAACGCTTGAGTCTTTGAATAATTAATATAATTTTTTTGAAAAATATTTTTGGAAGATATAAAATTTTACAAAATCCATGATTTTTTTCTTTTGTTTTTTTAATAAGGAATGCATAAGTGTGATAGAAATCTATTTATTATATGAATTTAAGAATGCTTGAGCCTTTGAATAATTAATATAATTTTGTTGAGATGAGGAATATTATTTCTCGCTTTTCTAATTCTAATTTTTTCTATTGCTTTTCTTTTGTCTCACGTTTTTCTCTCTCTCTCTCACCCATCTAACTTTCTTCTTATCTTTTGTGTTTCAGGTAGGTCTAGTAAGCAATAAATTGATTTGTGTTCTGTGCACGAAGGGAAAGTACGTGCGAAGATTCTAGACAGTATGATGATGGCAAACATATCCCCCGTTATGCTGCCACCCCTTACCGACTATGGGATGCTGACTCCTACCCTCGGAATAAAGGTGAGTCGCGATCATCCAGTTTGGATTGGCAGCGTATCTGTCGATTTTCAAGAAGAGGAAGAAAAAAAAGATAAATTGAATTTTAAAAAGCTTTTTAAAATTTTTTTACAAAATCACGAAATTCATAAGATTATTGATTATATATATATATATATGATAATTATATAGATATAATTTTAAATAAAATTAGATAAAAAAATTAGAAATATGATATATATATAAAATATAGAGATATTTATTAAATGAATTGTTTTTGGATTCGTATAAAAGGGTGAACCAATTAGTCGGTGTCGGGGGTAAGTGAAGAATCATTCTTTGAATTTTCTCTGAGTGATTATTTCTTTTGTTAACGTATTTTAGAGAGCTTGCTTCTTTTATAGTGCCAATTTTTCTTTCTTTCTTTTTTTTTTTTTTTTTCGTGTTCTTTCGATGTTTCTTTGAGCCCAGTCTTGTCCAATGTTAATGAAACGTGCATGCTATTGAATTGTTTCTGCACATATATCTCGATGGGGATCTTTAAATCGGCTGAACAGTATCCGGTAAGTGATTCAACACGATGAATAAATTGAACGTTGTTGAAATTTTATTTATTAAAATTTATATATTTATAAATTAATATAATTCATTTCTTTTCTTTGAAATAATTGTTCGTGTAAAATTTTTATTCTCTTCTATTCATTGTTCTCTTTCTAAGGAATGGTATGAACGATAATAATTATATTTGTGATGATTTTGATCATACAAAAGAATGCATCGTTGACGATCCTCGTTTCGAGTCGAGCTGTTTAACATTAAATTTTACTGCTAGCTCTTACTTTTATCCGATTATATTTTTAATCGCGTAATATTTCTCCTTTCCATGTATATAAACGATATTCCACGCGCAAGTTTTTCATTTGAAAACATCGAACAATAAGATTAGAAAATATTTCCATAATCGAGACACTGAAATGTTAATTATTCGAGGCTGAACTGAAAATTCTAATTCCTGGAATACGGGGGATGCATCCGCATCCGAGTCGGCACATTATGAAGCCACTGTTGCGACGCAACAGGTACCGACTGTTGTCCGTGGCCATTCCGCGTCGGATAAAGGAATCTCTGAATCGGTTCAGCGAGCTTATGCAACTTATTTCTGGTGACTTTGTGTCTATTAACCTATTCAACGACCCAAATTCCCCCCTCTCTTAATCCTCTACCATCCTTACACCCCTTTCGAACATATTTATGTATATAATGTATATCTTTAAAAATTCTTCTATTAGTAAGAGTTCTTCTAATCTTCATTATTTTAACCAGAAGTGTAATTTCTTCCATAATAAATTATTATTTTATTTTATTTATATTATTATATTATTTTATTATATATGTATCTTTAAAAATTGTCAGTATTTACAGTACAAAGATTATCATCTCATAGAGTTCTTCTAATTTTCATTATTTTACGCAGTGTAGTAATTTTTTCTATAATAAATTATTATTATTTTATTATATTATGTACCTTTAAAAATTGTCAGTATTTACAGTACAGAGATTATTATCTCATAGAGTTCTTCTAATTTTCATTATTTTACACAGAAGTGTAATTTTTTCCATAATATATTATTATTATTTTATTATATTATGTACCTTTAAAAATTGTCAGTATTTACAGTACAGAGATTATCATAGAGAGAAATATCATAGAGTTCTTCTAATTTTCATTATTTTACGCAGAAGTGTAATTTCTTCCATAATAAATTATTGTTATTTTATTATATTATATATCTTTAAAAATTCTTCTATTGTCTGTATTTATAGAAATTATCTCAGAATTCTTCTAATCTTCATTATTTTAACCAGAAGTGTAATTTCTTCCATAATAAATTATTATTATTTTATTATATTATATATCTTTAAAAATTCTTTTATTGTCTATATTTATAGAAATTATCGCGTCTCATAGAATTCTTCTAACTTTAATTATTTTAACCAGAAGTGTAATTTCTTCCATAATAAATTATTATTATTTTATTTTATTTATATTATTATATTATTTTATTATATATGTACCTTTAAAAATTATCAGTATTTACAATACAAAGATTATCATCTCATAGAGTTCTTCTAATTTTCATTATTTTACGCAGAAGTATAATTTCTTCCATAATAAATTATTATTATTTTATTATATTATGTATCTTTAAAAATTGTCAGTATTTACAGTACAGAGATTATCATCTCATAGAGTTCTTCTAATTTTCATTATTTTACGCAGTGTAGTAATTTTTTCCATAATAAATTATTATTATTTTATTATATTATGTACCTTTAAAAATTATCAGTATTTACAGTACAGAGATTATCGCATCTCATAGAATTTTTCTAATCTTTGTTATATTACGCAGAAGTGTAATTTCTTCAATAATAAGTTATTATTATTATTTTATTATATTATTACCTTTAAAATTTTTTCTATTGTCTGTATTTATCGCGCCTCATAGAATTCTTTTCATTATTTTACGCAAGAATTTAATTTCTTCCATGATAAATTATTATTACTTTATTATATTATATTATATTATACCTTTAAAAATTCTTCTATTGTTCGTATTTATAGAGATTATCATATCTCATAAAATTCTTCTAACCTTCGCTATTTTACGCAAAAGTGTAATTTCTTTCATAATAAATTATTATTTTATTATATTATATATCTTTAAAAATTCTTCTGTATTGTCTGTATTTATAGAAATTATCGCGCCTCGTAGAGTTCTTCTAACTTTAATTATTTTAATTAGAAGTATAATTTCTTCCACAATAAATTATTATTAATCGTACAATGTAGGAAATTGCTTAAAAAAAGAAAATTTCTGTACGATTCCGAGCGCGAGTTTCTACCCCATCCAACGACGAGCAGCAACTAGTGGTGGCAAATTACAAACGATTCTCGCTTTGGAAAGCGGCCGTTCGGCAATTAAGAGGATTCACCGTGATTTTATCGTGCCCTCTTCCCGAAACGCCGCTCCCATTCCCGGCCCGATCGCATTCTTTCGAAACGGCCGGGGGGTATTCTCGACGCGATAACAATTGTCGTTAGGCGAGTGTTTATAAAGGCGGGATGCAAAACGGGGCGAAACGTAACTCGCCTCGTTCCGAGTTCGAGAACGAAACGGGTGCTCTTTCGGCGAGAACTGTGCCCGTGAATCACGTTAAGTCGCTTAATGTAAATGCATTCAATTTTATCCTCGCCCCCTTTCCGAGATATATTTAACAACCTTCTCCTCTTTTTTTTCTCTCTCTCTCTTTCTTTTGCGTTATTTAACTTTCTCATTTCTATTATGAAATGCTCGAATATTTTTTTTTCTAAAAAAAAAAAAAAAAAAAAAGAAAAAACAGTCAAATCTCTTTAGATGGAATTTCTCAATAGATTGAATTCAACTCATTCGAATAGATAGGTTTTTCTTTTCTTTTCTTTTTTTGTTTCTTTTGATACAAATAAATGGCAAAAAAATATGCAATACTTGTATCAGCTTATTTGCATTGCTATCGCTATTTGAGATAAGGATGATCTATATAAGAAATCCTTGAGACGTTCACTCGACGTAATTACTCGAATGTATTGTTTTTCACGTACGTAGTATTCCAAAAATGCATTAGCATAGGCAATGGGAATTTTATATGATAAAAGATTATATGATATAAAAAAATCTCTGGTAACACGAGTGATAAGCTAATTTGCAACTTCAGTTCAATTAATATATAATAATGTAATTTTCTAATTCGAATAGTTAAGATATAATAATTACGTACGTATAAGCTAGGCACAGTTATAGAAAATATTTCCAAGCTTTAAATCTCGATTAGATTATCCTAATCATGAAAATGAAAATAATTTTCAATAATTTTGAATATTCAAAATTATATACCTCTTACTACTTCCTACTACTATGCAACGAAGGATCACACTTCTTGCCATACTTCTTTCCACACCAGTGACCAATAAAACTTTAAAACTAGTGTCGTTGGATACGACACCTCTGCTGTTCGCTTACCAATAAAACGGCGCATAACGTAAACGAACAGTATTAAATGCTAAGATCATCATAACGTGTCGTAACAATCGATTTCTCGTTGAAGAAAATATCCCAAGCGTTTCCAGCGTTTAAACAATAGAAAGAAGTAATAAAGCGTCTTAGATACAGGCCCTCTTCTACATCAATTGTTGGAATTTAAATTTGGATATCGATCGATTCGAGGAGACGATCGTCTTTGTCTCTGCGAGAAGGATGGGGAGGGGGAGGGGGAGCAGAAGAGACGAGAGAGAGAGAGAGAGAGAGAGAGAGAGAGGGGGGATGACTGTTTCTTCACACAGGTGCACGTTGTATCCAGTTAATTGAATCACTTAATTAATCTTGTAGTCTTTAATTAAACGTAAGGAAAGACACTACGGGGGGTGCCGATAATTTTGATGAGATTCGGGATGCTGGAATTAGGAAAGGAGGAGAGAGAGGGGGGAGGGGAGATGTGATGATAACGCGTTTAATACTTGATCGTAACGTTTCGAAGTTGGTGGCCACCTAGGTGGAATCTAATCTGACTCAGGCATGCCTTAATGTTGATTCGATAATCCGCAAGTTACGAGATTATAGGGGTGGTGGTGAACGAGAATTCTTTTTATCCAAGCAGTTAAACGGATTGATCGTGCGACTTAATGTTTTCTGAAAAATATTTGTAATTTTTTTATATACGTAAAACCAATACCGGCAAGAAAATATTTAATATTTCTATAATATGAAAAAAAAAGTAATGAAAAATCACCGAAAACTTACATTCAAATTTCAAGAAGTTAAAATTTCAAGAAATTGGTTAATCTAAAATGATAAAGTCACTGGACTGGACAAGGACTGGTCATTTTTCGTTCTTCGATGCACGTTTGAGATTGATGCGATTTAATATTTGTGTTTTCTGAAAAATATTTGTAATTTTTTTATATACGTAAAACTAATACTGGCAAGAAA